AAACTAATGCGTATTGATAATAAGACGAAAAAATGCCTAAAAACCTAACGAGAAAATAAATTAAAAAATTGTTTTTTTGTATGTATTTATTCACATTTCAAACCAATAAGCCTTCATGTATCTAAATGATAATTTGTGACGTTTTGTTTTTCAATGAAAAGAAAATCGCGGTTTGTCATTCGATTTGTGGGTAAATGTGTTTTGTGAGTGTGTGTGTTTGTGTATGTGTGTCTGTCTGTTGCAGAGCCAGTCAATAAAATCTATCATTATGCGTATGCAAAGATCTCTTTGGAGACCATGAAAAGGGCTCATTTTTAGGAGCATTGCTTAACAATTGAATAATAATTTGTTTGTTTGTTTGATTGATTTTTTTTCGTTCAATTCTATAAATATTTGGTATACTACGTAATGAAAATGGGATTCGAAAAATTCGTAGAGCATGAGCATATCAATTCAATAGTAAGGAGAGAAAAAAGTCGTCAAATATTTTGAATGTGTGTGCTGCACACAATAATGCCCTCGTTTCACATTTCAAATGATTTTCACTCACATCGATATCTTTTTTACCTTTTTCATCTTTTTTTTTAACAATAAATATCTTAAAATTAACGAATTTTTGCAACTAAAAAAGAGAATATCATAACTTATTTTGTGTCTATGTCATCGAAATGAGATGGTAATTGATGTGAACATCTGCATCGTAATTCGAAATCTTTGATGTGAAAATACGATACACACAAACAAACAATTGTAAAAGGTGTCTTTTTTTTTGTTTTAACGTAATGATGATAATAAAAAAACCACAGAATCTTAAATAATTTAACATAAATAATGTTTAAACTCAAAACTAATTAAAATTAATAATTTATCAGTTCGATAATTTAACTTATTTGCGAAAAAATGTATTTGTTCATAAGTAAAGATTACAAAATAAGTCGCTAACGTTCAAAGATAAAAACATTGTTTTTGTGTGTCTTTCTTGAATTTTTCGTGTAAAATTAGATTTTTTTCCTCTTTCTCTTAAAAAAAGAGCATTTTTTTTGTGTGTAATTTAAATAAAAATGATAAAAACGGGAGCATAACAATTTAAAACAAACGGCAAGAATTTTACTGAACCGAAATGATTTTTCATAAATTTTATGCATTTAAAAAAATATGATGCGTAAAAAATCTTACATCATCTAATGAGTAAGAAAGCATACACAGCACTCGTAAAAATGGATTTTTGTCTATATATTTGTCGTCATTTCGAATGAAAACGATGAAAAGATTGTGTTATTACGACAAATATTGGTCCTGGTTTTATAATTTTTTTTTTAAATATATGTTCATCGATGATCATGTATCAACAATTGAATTCAAGTTTTTTTTTTCATTTTTTTTTGTCATTTTGGAATTAAAGTTTTTTTGAAAAACTGATTCACTTACTAACTAAACACTGCTTATTTTTTTGCCATAAATTATTTATCTGTCCATTTTGTCGTCTTTATCGTAAGTCCTAAATTAGAAAATGGCTCGAAGCCATAATACACGCATAAAACACCAGAAAAAAAAAGTACAAACAAAAACAACATTTTAACGAAATTTAAATCAATCGATGCTTTTAACATACTAATGCTACCGGCTAAACTGTCTTTCCTTTTCTTCCATTTATGTTTCCATTCTCACACTGAAAACCCTACACTAAAATAATGCTTTCAACCTCTGTGTATTCTCGTTGAGTATGTGTGTGTGTGTGTGTGTTTGTTTTTATTTTAGAAAAATAAATCTCATTTTTGGCACTTTTAACTCTTTTTGTTTATCTGTGGAATTTTTCATTTTTACATCTCTTTTTTCTTCAGAATAAAAATTGCTAAACGAAGTAAAAGCTTTTTGTTATTTTCTGTTTTAATAAAAAAAAGTGGTTGTGACATTTGTTTAATGCGTGTCTGATTGAATTAAATGTCTTTATGCAATTAAGAAGTGCATCCTCTTTGCCAAAGCATAAGTATATGTGTTTTTCTCAGTTTTCAATATTGTTTAATCCAATTTGTGTCAGTTGCATTGTTTTCTGTATCAAAATTGTGCTATTATATGGTTGAGCGAGTCAAATGTCGCCCGCTAACTGAAATGATCGTTGTCAGAAATAATTAGCAACAATTTGGTGAGAAATAAAATGTCTGTTTTGATTGTGCGCATCAAATGAACTGCTATGAAACGTTGTTGTATGCCTTTGGCATGATTTTTGAAATGAAAATCCGATTTTTATTTTTGGCCATTAACTCCATTCTTTAAGTTTTCTTATTGCTCGGTATTTTTTTTTGCTTTCAACCGTTTATTTCGATCGAATGTAGATCGTTGAAGATATAACATAAATAAAAACCGAAATAATGTGGTCTGCGTGAGCTATAATTTACAAATTAATTATAACTTTATAATTTACATATGAAATTTTTGAAATGAGTCGAAAATAAAAACACCGAAATACACAAATGTAATAAAGCTAGTAATCTTTGTTTTTACAACACATCGTTTTTGGTTTCATTTTGTGTCTTTCGCAGCATGAGGTTTTTTTTATAAATCCAAACCTTTCTTTAATTACAGGCATTTTGTTTGTAGCGGGAGTTTGAACCGCATAACAGCCAGCTCACGTGCGCATTTTAAATGAAGGAATTGGTGTTTCTTTTTTTTCAATAGAAATAATTACCACTAGATAAATGCCATTGGCGGGAAAACAATCGCTCATAAGTTAGATAGTGAAAGACGCAACAGGCATTGTCAATAAAATATAAAAAACTATTTGTGATCTGGCATGAATTTGAAATCACGTTGTTCTGTATACCTGGTTGATGTCCATTTGCAAATTAAAAAAAAAAATTAAAACAAAAAAAATGCTTTTATGTAATCGGATCACAATGGCTTGTTCGTTCATTTATCTCGAAATGCAGCAATGAAAACCGTTTTTCTTGAAGTCATGTGCATACCGTGACACATTTTATCTCTTTATTTCTTTCTTTCTCTCTCTCTCTCTCTCTCTCGCATGAAAGAAGACAACAAAAAAAAAAAAAAACAGTAAAGCGTGGTGTACGGTGTGTGATAGTGTGTGTGTCTCTCTGGGTATCACATTGTTCAGTCGCGAAATTGTTTTCATAAATTTAAATGTCGAAAGAGAGAGCGAGAAAGAAAAGTTTTATTTTGGACAAAAAAAGAAGTCAAACACATAAAACTACATGACTTCATAATTAGGACCAATTTCATGCTTCACTTGTCCACAATTTGTTCATCGTCGCTATTTTATTCGTGTGACATTCAAGAGAATTTTAAGTACGAAATTATGAAAATTGCATGATTTAATGTGGCCAAATGTTAACACGACGAAAATGTTTTTCCATTTACAATTGGCTCTTGTTTGTGGTTTTCGGGCGATTGCGAAATGAAACGCGAATAAGAAAGTATAAAATAAACAAATAAACAGAAACAAGCAGAGAAGAAGAAAAAATGAAACACTGCATGTGTCAAAAAGTCATCAAGTGCAACCAAAATAAAACCGCCAAGTTTGTGAAAAGCTTTGCGTTGCATTGCACTTTGGAAGTCGGACAGAGGGTATGAGAGTGAAACAAAACAACAACAACAACACAAAGCAAATGAAGCACAAACACACTTAAAAAACATTGAGCGAAAACTATTTGTTATCGAATGAGTAAAAGAAAAGCGTATAAACAATAAGACACGTATCAGTGTTTCCTGGCTCATTGCTGTCTGCAAGAGTTCACAATACACGGAAATGCGTCGCTACTTGCACTTTGTGTACACAATTTATATGCGATGTATATATATAGTGCTATCGCAAATGAGACAGTGTATCATCTGGTGGCATACAGAGAGAAAGAGAGAGTCTATTGGGTTGGTTGCTCGTATAAAATGTGGGCTAAAAATGCTGAATGGAAAATATATATGTATATGCGCGCCACCCCCAAGCTCAAACCATTAGCTTTTATTGCTTGTGATCTATGCGCTTTTCATACTTGGCGGCTATTTGCAGTTCCGTTCTTGTTACACTAACATCATTTTGTGCCAATGGCTTGACGCTTCTTCTTTTATTCACTCTTTCTCTCCCTATAATTTTGTGTTGTGTGTGTGTGTTTTTTTTTATTTTGTCTCATTCGCCGTTCGCTCTTTGTTTCCCATATTTTGCCATTATTCGATGCGATTTGCAACGGAACATTCATGATTGTTGAACGCAGTGAAATTCATTGAAACTGTTTACAATTGCAATCACTATTTGTCATTTAGTCGGTACTTTCAAAACTCGCATGTGACGCGATAACATTGCATTCACACGATGGTGCTTGTGTTGTCGTCGTTATTTCCCTCTCTCTCTGTTTTTTTTTTGCTCTCTCATTGTCGTTTTTTTTTGCATTTTCATATATTGGCGAAGTGAGTGTATGACGCGGAAAAGTTCTATACCGTTAGCTCACAAGTGGTGCAAACAAGTAATGAGCATAGTTCATTGGGTGAGCAAAGAAGCAACATAGAGAGGACACGGCAATGGCAAACGCTTTGCAACAACAATAAAAAATCGAGAAGCAAAAACAATAAGCGAAAAAAAGCAACAACAATAACAATACATGCGTTAAAACATTGAGAATGTTATGCAGTTTGGATTATAGTACTGCATCAGCAACGGCATTAGCGATCGCTTCGAAATACATATGATAAGATATGGCATGCGAATAAAAAAAACAAAGCACACCAATACCCAACGCATTCATATATACTAGCTCATTGCGAGTGCCAACGTGAGCGGCGGGTGGTAAGATTTTACCGTGTCAGAGAGCTATATTTTTGCAGGCATTTCGACCGAGCTGCTTTTATTCAATGCATGTGTGTGTGTGTGTATATGAAGTAAGAGAGTGTGTACCCTGCATAATCATCCAGAATGTGAGCCTTCTTAGCGCAAATATGTGTATAATGTGCCAATATATCTGGTGAAAGCAGTGCACAACGAAAACAGTTTGGAGTTTTTTGGCTGACTTGTTTTTTTATTTTTTATTTTTTTTTTTTTGATTCGGAATTTTAAATCTTTTTTTCCCAACAGGCGGCAAGCTTATTTGAAATTCTCTGGCTTTTATTCATTGTATGGTTTGGTGGTTTCTTCTCTAAAAAGCAACACACTAAGAAATGCTTGCAAAAAAATAAAACAAGTAGTCGCACAACAAAATTAGACGAGACGAAAAAAAAGAGGAGACTGAACGAAAAAAATGCAACGACCATAGTATGCATGATAGTGCTTTCGGTTGTCTTGCAAATCGAATGGATTGCATTGCTGGCATATGATGATGTACAGGCCGAAATTCGAATGAGCACTTCGAAGCGTCCAACATTTCTGCCAAATTAATGCAAACAGTACATATTGTTTGGCTTGTGACGCCTTTCTTCTTTTCTCTCTCCCCTCTACCTCTAACATACATGATCACTAACTGTGGCCATATCTATCTGTTTGTTGCCAGGCAAAAACGCGAGAGCCGCACATGCAACTTTACATCGCAATTGCATTTTTGGCTGAATGGTGAGAAAGTACAATTAATAGGGCTGCCTTTTTTTATATTTGTTTTCGTTCGCTTGGTTGGGAAGGTGGTTGTTGTGATGGTGGACAAAAGCTATATGCTTCGCATATACAGAAATGGAGATGAAAAGCCAAAAGAGAGAGAGAATGAAGGAGTTTATTTTTTTGCGTTGAATTTCCAAGCAATGTTTGCTTGAGCACACACCAACCTTATGGCAAAATACAAAATGCAAACACATATTTAATAAAGCGTCAATGGGGGTATCATCGAGTTTTTTTTATGTTGTTTTATTTCATATATGCCTGTAGTTTTCGTTCGCTATCTCTTTCACTCCAGCTGGCTCGTCGGTTTTGTATTCAGTCTGTGTGTTTTTCTTGGAAAAATGAAAAACCGTCATAAAATTTCAGAAAACTATATATATATTTTTCGCCAAAAACTTCTATTTCTCGAGCCACCCGAATCATCAATATATATATATAATATAAAAGAGATACCTATTATATGGTATGTTTGCATCGTTGGTGGTGCATTTGTTCAGTCTCTCTATGGTCGTTCTGTCTCTCTCATTTTCCATAGAAGACGGGACCACTTTTAATTGATTCAATTGTGCATTTTGAGCTGGTGAAATGTTTGTTCGACTATCGGTAAAGCATGTAACATTAATTCTGTCGTTATTATACGGTTTCTGACGTTCTTTGTTATTATTTTGGTCGAAAGTTGTTTCGGTTTTGGTGAACAAGAAAGTGCAACACAGAGAGTGCATTGTTGACTGGGTAGTTGACTGACTGTTAGCTTTTAGCAACATTGTGTTACAGTTAGTATTACTGGTGCTGGAGAGTGTGTTATCGTTTTTTGTTGTTGTTGTCGTTTTTGCCTGTGTGTGACTGCTTTGTGTTTATGAAAATATATGTGCTGAACGCAATGCGGATTGCGGCTATTGTTTAACCCTTTTGCATGAGGCCAGATGGTTTTGGCAAAAACGAGATGGAAATATGATCGAATAGAGAGTCCAAAGAAAATGCCTTTCGAGATCTATAAAAAGATACGTTAATGCATAAATGCCATAATGCACACGTTTATGCATATATGGATATGGATATGGATATATAGATGCATTGCATGTGCAATACACACATATTTGGTGTGCGTATGATTTTACATTCATGTATCCTCGTATCAGTCTCGTGGATATCCTGGATCTTGAGCATTTGTTGTTGGAACATGTGGAAATGAATGTGCATGAATCGGTGTCTGTGTGTTTTATTCGTATATTTTGCCATTCGCATTCGCTTTCTCATTCATGTGCTCTGAAATTTATATATAAATTTCGACCATTTTCGGCTTATGCTTGGCTATTGTTCGTTCACCGAAAATGGTTTTGAACATTTGACCTAATTCGCAAACAGAGTTCGGTTTATGGGTAACTGGTGCTTTTTTATTATTATTATTATTCTTGTTCTGTTATTGTTATGCTATACGCAAATCGAGACATATCCCCAAGATGCGACCAAACACAGGCACAATTGTTAGCCGAAAATTTTCCACTTTTCCCAATATTGTACGATTTACAAATGGGAATCTCATGTCTTGACGCCTTAATTTCAATTTGAATTTCATAGAAAAGCGCATCTTGGCGATATATCGATCGGTTTTCTTATTTGTACAAAAGATAAAATTATTTGCCGTAGAGAGTGTTGAAAATGAGAAACGACAAGAGTCAGAAAGTTTTAAAGAAAATTAAAATGAGAGACAATATGAGCGTCAATATTACGGGTGAAATGTGCAACCAAAACAAAAAAAAAACATTCTCAAGCAAAAAAGCCACACCGTTACTCCTTGAATTCAAACTCAATTTAATTTAGTGCACCTACTGCAGTACGATTAACGAACTGACGACAACGAAATGAAATGAACTCAAAAAAATAGAAACAAACAAAAATAAAACGAAAAGAAAATTAAGGCGATGAGGGAAAAAACACTCAAACTCACACACAAATTTCAATGCGATGAAAATTGCACCAATGCACATTGGCTTTTGCCTATATTTTTTCACCCGTTCGCCTTTTTGGACGCACGGTAAAGCTTTTTTTTTCCGCTGACTACTCTCGTTCTTTCTTCGTGTGTGCCTTCTGCCTTTTATGCGATTTAATATTTATTATAATTGTTGGTTGGTGTTGCGTACGCTGCTGCTGTTGCCTCACTGCAAAAACGTAGCACATACAATTTATCAAATGCACATGCATATTGTTTACACTAAGCCAAAAGACTCTCTTTCACTCTGTTGTGTGAAGTGGCGAGGCGCTTTTCTTTCACATACGTACATATATACATATTCTCTTTATTTTTTTCTCTGCTCTCGTTGCGCTCTGCTTTCTTTCCCATTTCGTGTTTCCTTTTGTTGCGTCACTCCTGGCGTTTTGCTACTTCAATTCACACGTCGATTGCATTATTAATTTTATGGTTAAATATTCAAATAAGACTCAACCAGCAGCAATACATATACAAACATATACATTTGATGAATCTGCATAATATTGCATGCAATTTTTAAATACCCGTCGTTTCATTGCACCACATCGCCATTCGCACGTAGACTTTTTGTGTTAAGGTATTGGTCCACGTTTTTTTTTTTCATTGCTTGCTTGTTTACTTGCTGTTCTTTCATTTCTTTAGTTCGTTTTGCTTTATTCGCCACTCTTCAATGATTTCTCTCTCTCTCTCTCTTTCTCTCTCACACTCACTTTTGCTTCATATCCTTTTCCATTTTCGTTCAATTGCCGTTAATTTCAAGCACCAAACATGATATGTTTGCATAGCGTGTGAAATGGATGAAATAGTTTTGACTTCCTGTACCGGGCATCGATTTAATAATGCAATATGAAAAGCGAGACCATTTCAAGGATGCATTTCACGCGGACGATTTTTATTTTTCAATTTCTAGTGTGAATGTGTGCATTTTTTTCTATTTCTCAATCGTGTATATATTCTTTTGTATGAAATTCAAAACGAATAAGCATTTTCACTTCTGAATTTTGATAGTATGATGCATAAATCAATGAACTGCATACTAAAAATTGGATATGAAACAATAACTCAGCGCACATATATCTATTTGCGCTGATTTTCGGACACACATTTTTGAAGCAATTTTAATAAACAACTCACAACCATTGATTTTCTGTTGTAATGTAAAATATTTTGAATTCTTTTCTAAAGTAATTTCGTATTTCTATCTTATTTAGTTTTATTGGTTTCTTTTTCAAAATAAATAAATAAAAGAAGTGATGCATTTTGATTTGTAATTCGTAAATTATACGGACTTCGTTCCATATATTCGTTCGTGAAGAGGAAAAAAACCAATGTGCAAATCGATCAGAAAATTCCCACGTATTCAATGTTACAAATGACAGAGCATAAAAAATTATGGAATTATCATTATTTATTGTTGTCATTATGCTCATTTGCATGTGAGCGTTTGTGTGAGTTTTTTTTTTTGTAAGGGGGGCCATTTGGAAACCAATCTATAAATAAAAAATGTTTTTATTTGGTGTTGTTGTTTTTTAATTCGAATACAGAGAAACAAATTGAGGACAAACGCAAAATGATTCAACCAATTTTTCTTTGTTCGTTGTCGCGATCGAAAAAAATTAATTATCTATTTAATGATTTGTGTATACTGTATATGTTTCAATGACCAAAAAAAATTGTGGATTATTTTATGTGCATCAACAGTAAAAATGTTCATTTAATGTAAAATTTCAATATTATTTCAATGATTTTTGTTCGTAACTGTATATTCAATATACGCGTTTGGCTTTTAATTTCTTTCATTTTTGTTCTTTTCCATTTTTTTCTTCTTCTCTCATTTAAACTGTAAGTTATATTTTTCTCTATGCGGAATTTGTGATTTTTTTTTAAACAACTTTCTTTGAATATTTTATAAATGTTGTTGTTTTGAGCTCGTTCTTGTAGCTATGCATTAAATGTGAGTGTGTGTGAGAAACGAAGGTCTTTTTGTCAGTCTTTGCAAAATATACATCATTTATAATATACATAAGTGGATCGATGTAATTTCATTAAAATTCAATTTTAAAACATAAAAAAACATGTTAAAATGAAACACTGAGTAATTATTACTTAAACCTTTTTTTGAAGAAAAAAAAATGTACCATCGTTGTAATGTCGATGTGTATTTTATCGATGGATACTTGTATTGTTGCTGTTGGTGTTGTGTTCATGAACAAATATTTTCCGTTTTAATGATTGTACTAGCTGCATACGCTGGTGACAGTGTTTTTGGCGAAACACTTTGATTACTGTCTTCGATCTTTATTTTCACTTTGGACAAATTGCTGTTGGGCATCGCTGCGAATCAAAAGAAGAAAATTGATTGTTGTCAATGAATTGATTGGCACTGTAGTAATTTTTTGTGTTGATTTTCTTTATAAATCAATTAAAAAGGTGAAGAATAAATGAAAACTTACCGATGAGGTTCCGTTGGTAGTTGGCCTGTGAATTGGCTGCTGTATCAATGGAATTGCCATTATTGGATGCTGCAACGGCAGCGGCGGCTGCCGCCCTTTGTGCTTCATATCGTGCATGGGTGCGCATGTGGCGGGTAATCATATCACGACGGCAAGCAGCATACGGGCATTGTGGACATTTGTATGGTTTTTCACCGGTATGGGTACGTTGATGCGTCGATAGATGATCGGAACGTGAAAATACTTGATTACAAACTTTGCATGTGTACGGTTTAATGCCGGTATGTAAGCGCATATGTCGTGTCAGCATATCGGATCGGGCAAATGAACGATCGCAAACCTCGCACACATATGATTTTGTTATTTCGGATGTTCCAGTTTTGCTTTTATGCCGTGATGCCATGTGCTTGGCCAATCGATCGTGCAGCGAAAACATTTGTCCACAAATTGGACAAACGTATGCAACATCGGTGCCGGGTGGCATCTCTTCAACCACCGGCGATACATTAATATTGTATCGAAATGCAACCGATTCTTTGGTTGTTGGAGATGCAACATCACCTTTTATAATGGGCACTTGACCCAATGAATTGCTTGCGGCGCTTGTGATTGGCGATTGACTATGGTGCGTTGCAGTAAATGCTGGATGATTGTTTAAATGTGCAGCCGGATTAACGAGAAGATTTGCAAGATTTGGTATTGATGCCGATAGGTCGTGAGCTTGATTTGGCCATTGATTCGGTATTGTCACCGAAACGGATGACGATGATGATGATGATGGTGAACGTGATGATTGTTTGTGTGTCGCTGTTGCTTTTGTAATATTCTCAAGAATTGTTTTCATGGATAAATCCAATGGGGCATCTTGTGGGGGTTGTGGTTTTTCCACGAACGATTGATACGATGACGTTTGGTGTTGTTGTTGTTTTGGTTGACGTTGCCGTTTTCGTGGCGGTTGTTGAATTTTGGTATCTTCTTGTTTAATTGATTTGCTTTGCAAATCAAGCACGGTCAATTGGCTCTGCGGTGAATACTGTTGTGGTTGTTGCTGTTGCTGCTGATGTTGTTGTTGTTGATCGGACATTGGTGTTAGTTTCATTTTTAAATCCGAATTTGAAATTTGCATGCTATTTCGCATACGTAAAATATCGGGTAGGTATTTGGTTTGTAAATAGTATTCGAATAATTGTGGCGGCATCTGTGGAAAATATCGTTCCATTGGGCTGATATTTTGTTCATTACGATGATTATAATCATAATCACCCATACGATTCTCTTGTTTAATATCTCCATTAAATGCATTTTCATCATTTACAGCAAAACTGAGCGGGCTACTGAATGGTTCACGTTTTACAAATGGACTCTCAATGCTCGATCGTAAATCGTCGGATGCATTTGTCGTTCGATCATCGTCATCATCACCACTTGATCGAACCGATTCACGGCCAACGTCGTTCATCACAGCACGATGGAAATCAACAAGGGATGGAACTTTCGATGGTTCACCCTGATTATTATTGTTATTATTTGTTTCATTGATTACGTCCAATTCATTCAGGCAACGTTTTGTTATTGTGTTGTTATTGTGCAATTTATCAAGCACCGCCGACAAACGTTTTCGCTTACGTTGTTTCCATGGAATATTTTGATTGGTGATCAACGAATTGTTGTTGTTACTGATTTGAAATTCGCTCATTTGGCGTGCATTACCCATTGGGTCCATTTCATCGGCCATCGTCATGGATGTGTGCTTTTTTCCTTTATGTCACAACAAAAGAATCGGCTGGATAATCGTCTGCAATGAAATAGAAAAAGAAAATGAATATAAAAAAATACAATAATAAATTCAGATTTTGATTAGAATAAATAAATCATTTGGATTTTTTGGCTTCAGAAACCGTACAATGGATTTCGAGCCAATCGAAAAAAGTACAAAAAAAAAACCAAAACGAGAAAAAAAACACGATTGAAGCCTAATATTTATCAAAATAAGACATTCTTATAAGAAATATAGCACGCATTTATTCATAAAGTTTCTCGGAACAAACAAATGTTGGGAGAAAACAGTGCAAAGAACGAGATAAAAAACGAACAAGTCGAAAGGAAACCACCAACATAGAGCGCCAAGTTGCATAAAAAAATTTGTAAAGAGAATTAAACCAACAGAAAAAAAAGATCCTGTAAACCGCATCATACATCGTCGTTCGCATTGTTGTTTTAATCATTTTTATATGTGAATATGTATACATAAAGTTTATTCATTTTAGTATCTTTTTTTACTTCATATTGTGATTTTCACATAGCACGTATGTACACTCTTTCATAAGACGCATATTTTTGTTTATGCGTACGACGAAAATGTGTTGGTTTTTTCTCTGTTTCGTTTATCAATGTAATGTGCACTGGCCATGCCACAAACCATACCGATATATACATATACTCCATGGATATTTTGGTCTTGAAACAATGCGTATGTGCGAGGGATCGCCATCGCAAGCATTTCTGTGGTTTGAATTTAATTTTTGTTTCATTCGTTCGTAGACCGAACGGATATTTACACGATGATCACACATTTATCGCCTTACGAATTGTATTTTGATGTTTTCATCAGACGTGTCACGTCACGTGTGTATATGTGTCTTATGCCTACAATTATTTCGTAGTTTGATACCAACAACAATTATATTAATTTATTTCCGTTCACATGGTATTGCAGTGTGGTGTGTGTCTGTGTGTTTTGCAAGAATGCACAATATTTGAACTCATATGAATTCCTTAATGGTGACAAATTTGTTGTTTCACTCATTTCGAACGTGTATTTCTTTTCAAACGCCAAAGATTATGGATAAAAGGGGAAAACGTATATATGAAAAGTGATAAGCATGAATAAAACGAAAAAGTGAGAAGATTTTATGAGAGACTCGACTTACAAAAAAAAACGAAACTACAAACAGAGGCCAGATGTTGAATGAAGAGTTTAATGAGCATTTTGTTGGTTTCATTTTTCCTCCTTCTTGCCTTATTTTCAATGGATCATATTTTTGCGTGTAATATGCATGGCGAAAATTGTGCTATTTTCCAAGTCAAATATGTCATTGCATGTAGAACTGTACGCAATATGGAATGAAATTGACATTTGCGGGAGGTCGCAAGTCCATGTACATGCAATTTTTCTGTCTCTAATTTTATTTTGAAATAAAAAAAAGAGAAAAGAGACAAAAAGACAGAACAACATTTTGTTTGAATTACTTGAGCGATTCAAAGATACGCATCGCCTCGATTCCAAATCGAGATTAAAGATATCTGTGTGAGTTAAATAGATCCTAATGAATGGTACCTGTTATTACCAGATCGCTTTTTCGGATAATTTGCATGCAGTATATTTAAATTGCCTCTTGCCACTTTTGAGGTAGCCAATCAAACCCATTCAGTTTACCGTTTTGTTTTTATTCTTCTGTCTTAAATTGTGCATGCTATTGATTTTATTTTATTTTTATTTTGCGATTACAAACAGCATCAGCAGCAGTAGAAAAAAAGAACAGACAAAAAGAAAACCAAATTTGCTTTATTGGCATGAGAGACAGTATGCACACTTTTCTGAAATCAACGAAAAATCAACAAAATACGAACATCACCAGCAACCAAACGACGATACACTGAAGTGAGCCAAATAACCTAATTAGCATTATTTTATGGCTGTATGCTGCTCACAAAAATGGAATAAATGTAAAACGGTCTCAAATGTGTTTTACGGTTGTTGTTTTTATTGTGCGCCAATAGAACACATTCGCTTAAGGATCAACCAAATCAAATCATTTGCAACAACAACAACAACATAAATGAGAGAGCCAAAAAAAAGTGATTTGATTTTGAATGCGAATTATATGAACGTATGCGAGCTGAAATGGTTGAAATAAGACGACAGACACACATAGAGAGAGAGGGAGACAGAAAAAAATAATGTCAAGCATTGCATACAAAGTGCTTTGCTCTTTTGTAACTGTCATACTGTATCGATACAATTCCACAAGAGCAAAAAGATTTTCAGTTCAGTTTAGCAACGGAGAGCAAATAGTTCAAAATAGATATACACACGAACAAATACACAAAAATCTGTCTATACATATACTGACATCGTTCGATCTCTGTTCGGTGCACATAAAATTGTCGATGTGCATATAGAAAATCAGCAAGGGGCATTTAAACACGTTTGCTGCCACCTGAAAATGGTAGCTAAACTTGGTCTAAAATGTGAATTACAAAAGACCAATTATTCAGTGGAATGGATTTTATCGATGTGTTCGCACAATATTCTTTTGCCGATTCACTCACTCTCGTTCGTTCGATCACCCGGCTTTATGGCTTCGTGTGTTATACATTTGGAATGGTGCATTTTGCTTGCAATGGATCTCTCTTTTCTCTCATCGTCGTCATTATTATCATCGTCGTTGTCTCCATCGTCGTCGTCGTCAATTTTATGGGTTTCATCAACCGTTGTTAAATGCAATTAAAGTCGAACAAGAAGACACACAGCCCACAAAAGAAACCAATAAATAAGTATATGGCTTGTGAGTATACATTTTAAGGAGAAGATAAAAAATGCAATCAAATAGAAAATCAACTAAAATCTATTTCCAAATCAAATGATTGTAGAATGGAGCTGCGGAAAGAAAGCAATAAAAAAAATAGCTCGAGACAGAAATATAAACTGATAATAAGTAAGGTAATACGAAAACAATGCGGTGCACATTTTGCTATATGGTTAAGAAACACAAACCGGCTCTAGAGAATTGCTTACACTTGTGAGTCTAATGAAGCATTCGATGCAATCAAAATGATAGATTAGTCAGTGAGCACTTGTTATGTTCAAGAATAGGTAAATCGGAAGCAAAGAAATCTCTCTATCTCTCTCTCTCTCTCTCTCTCTGTGTGTCTTTTTTTAATCGGTTCGTTCGTACTTTGTGTGCCAGCCATTCTAAATGGCATTTTTTCTTCTAATTTCTTCATGGCCAACGATGCATTTTTGTGATATTTGGAGTGTGAACAATTAGAAGACTGCGTTTAGTTCACGAGAAAAATGGCAATAGAAAAACCACCATTTTCGGTGATTTTGATTCCGCGTTCAATTTGGTTGTTTGCCGATTTTTTTTTTAAATATTATTCGTTTGTTGTGTATATTTGTGTTGCATATATATGTTGTGTGTTGAAATAAAAAGCGTTAACTGATCTAGTTGAGTCGGTACATTGGTTGTGCAGACAGAATTGCGATCAACGTGTGATTCGGTTGCATGCTTTGCCAATTGCTTTTTAAATAAATGTCGCGATATTGCGGTTGTGTGTCAATAAATTTAACAGTCAGTTCAAGAATCAAATGCATCTGAAACAGATACAGAGAGAGCGAGAGAGACAGAGAGCAAAAAACAACAAAAAAAGACAACTCAACAGAAAATGTACAATTTGTATATAAGGTGAGCAATTTATACACCGGCTTCGGTATCAGTTCTGAGCACAGTTCAGCGCATGCTGATGGCACACAATATAGCCAGCCGTGTCGTCGTCGTCGTTGGTGTTGTTGCTGTCGTTGTCATCTGTATATCTGGTTGTTTGGAGTTTTTCGAGTATGCATTTGAATGGTTAAGTCAGTGTATATATGGATATGGTACGTGCGTTTTGTTGCCATTTTGGATGTGGTGCGCGCATTCGGGGCTGGCTGCTCTGAATTGGCTGCCGTTTTGTATGAGGTGCACCGTATCATTCTTATATTGCATACACACAAACACAAAACAAAGAGAAAGAGCATAATTGGCATTGCTAATTAGTTACATAAATTGCTGTATGACCGTAAATGCCAACCAACTCGTTCAGAATTACACAAATTATTGTGTTGCATTCAACTTTTAACTTCACAGTGTAGAGTGCGCGCGAGCGAAATGTGCCAACAACAAGCCACTGGCAACCAGTCCGGTAAACGAGAGCGAATGGACACGAATAGCACGGGAACACACCAATAAAAACATGTTTGCCTCTTTTGATTGCACTCTTCTGGTTGCAAACCCGATGGTACTGGGCTCAGGTTGATTTCATACTATGTGTTCTTTATGTCACAATAACAAAAAAAAAACCCATACACATATATTAATTCCAATATCGCATCAAAAATTCAACAGAACAGAAAAATAATTGAATTCATGAGGCTGCAACTGACGGGCGGCCGAACAACAAAAGTAACTAAACATATTGCATTGCATTTTGAATCAAATATTACTGCAAATATTTATATCTATTTTTAAAATGAACTACTAGTGGATGGCTGCTGCCTTGCTACCTATGTCGCGATATCAATGTTTCACTTTTAACAACACTCATATAAAATTACAATTTGTCGAACCAAAAGACGATTTCTTGTTCCAATATGCGCTCCTTCTTCGGTTCTTTTTCTCGATTCTATAATTCGTATTCCATTATTATATTCGCCGTCGTTTTGAGTGAGCCTACTCGTCAACGTTTGTTTTTTTCTCTTCTCTTCTCTGTTTTGCTTCATATATTTATTGTCTCTTTGTGCTCACTGGAAATGATAAATGAACTTGTGATTTTTGCGTGTGATAAGGCGTTCAAGTTTTCAACACACTTGCACACACTTTCGGTATGTCGATATTTTTTTTCTTCATATGCACATAGCACAACCGATAAGAATGTTTCTTTTTTCGCTTACTTTCTGGTTACCGATCGTTCAATTTTATATGGCTTCTTTTGCTTCTTCTTTCTTTTATTGTGATAAGATCAATGTTCAATAAT